TGGCAGTCACGGCTAGAAGAGATTTTGAAGAACTTTGTGTTATGCACTTAGTTGTGGCCTTTCCTGGATTGGGAGTCCCTACATTCAGTCATTCAAACCCTGGTCATTTCACATTTGGATTACTGCAATGCACTTTACATGGGGCTGCCTTTGAAGGGCATTTGGAAGCTTCAATTAGCACAGAGCAGTGGCCTGGACAGTTCTTGGGGCCTCTATGGTAGCCCATGCTACCTCACTGCTCCATGAGCTGCATTGATTGCTGGTTTGCTTCCAGGTACAAATCAAGGTGTTGGTTATTAACTTTAAAGCCCTGCATGGCATGGATTCAGGATACTTGAGGAACCATCTCATCCCAATAGGACTAGCATGCCCCAACCATACTGGCAGAAAAGGCAGCTTCAGGCCCCTTTCTGAATCAAGGATTTTTAGCTGGCGGGATCCAAGAGAAGACCGTCTCTGCGGTGGCTCCTGCCCTTTGGAACATCTTAGCCCCTGAGGAGAGATCGTCTCTCATCCTTCTAACTTTCCATAAGGCCCTGAAGACTTGGCTCTGCCAGATGGGCTTGGGGTCCCAGCAGGAAAGCATCACACTGGAGGTGGTTGATAACTTAAGAGGAAATCCCAGATCCCACACATACATCCTGCTCCTTATCTCCCCATCTTTTAACAATCATTTTTGTCTTTGATTGTAACTATATTTTTATCAATTTTGAAATATTTATCTTATGGTTTTAAGGCTTTTAATGCTGTAAGCTGCCCATACACAATTCAAAATGAGATGGGTGGCAAATAAATTTAATAAACAAACAAGCAAACAAAGACTTTCTAATGATATAAGTAGAAATTCACCACAGAATTGGAACAGTTATAGAAAATTATGAGGTATTCATCTCCACCCTCTGGTGACAAAATGAATATCCATATGGAATATGAGTTTCAAGAGTCATCTGAGCTACTACATCCGTCAGTAGCTCAGCTTCTCAAGATGTCAGCTTCTTGCAAATCAACTGAGGGAAGTACTCAAAGAATTTCAGGCCTTCAACTCCATAACAAGTAAGATTAATATTTACAAACCAATGGGCTTAAAGTTCCCTCGCTGCTGCTTGGCTACTGCCACCTTGGATTTTAGTGACTGTGGGTGCGCAGTTCACTGCAAATTGTTCTACAATGAACTGCGCACATCTGGCATGCATGCACGTCTGGTGCGTACACGTGCACATTGCACGTGGGTTGCAAACGGGCAGTAACGCTGGCAGCAACCCACCCTTGCTTTAATGCAAAATGTAAATTACCTGTGAGGAAGACAGAGTCACACCATTAGCTGAGTGAAGAGATGATAAAGGAGAACTCAATGAATCCCAGGAGACCACATATCTTGCCCCTTCTACAACTTCGCTGTTTCTGTGAGCATCCAAAACTACCGCTTCAAGAGGCTTTTCATATTGCAATGGTATACAGGAGGCACTTTAAAGAAAGAAGAATGCCAAATAAATGTCAAATATGGCATATTTCAAAAAAGCTCTTTGAATAGAATAAAATATGTCTCAAAATGTAGAGTGTGAAGTCAATAACTGTGTTCCCACAACAATCAAACTGAACAACATTTACCTTAGCATGTTGTGCTAATCCTTTCAACATAGTTAGTTGCCAGTTCAGTGTGTTGTGTGAATCAGGAAAATTGGATTAACTCAAGTTCAACTGTATAGTCTACATTTAGGACACAACCAAAGGGTATACCATATGATGACTCAAATAGCAAAATTATTTTTTGAACATGAATCCTTTGATAGACAAAATGACATAATTTATCTAGAGGAAAGTATCAGTATCCTTGGAAAGTCTTAAGATCAAATAAGTCTGTCTTATCAAGGTTTCTTATGTTAGAGTAATGGAGTGATAGCTATGTTGCACGATGTGCAATGTTACGATGCATTGTAAATACTCCCAAAATGCTGAGCAAACTGAGAATATTAACATTACTAAGTCTTAAAGTTCACTTCTGTGGGAAGCAAAAGAGAAGGAAGTATTTTACCTTGAACCATGGATATATGTTGCAATGCAATAAACTTGAGGTTCCACATAGTCCAGAGAAAAATCCTCAATTGGAATAATGCAAATTTTATGCTAGGCAAGAAGGACAATGTATCTGTTAACTTTTTTCCCAATGTGAAAATGGGGATGCATATTATTTAAACTATTTATGCTTCTAGAAAAAGTAACGATAAGAAAGCTTTCTAGCTAAAAGCTAACACAGTGTTGAGATTTGTGAGCACAGGACTTGTTGGCATAAAGTTTTGCGCTACAGTATTTTTGTATTTAGAAGGGTGTGTGAGTGTACTATGAATGCAGCATAGTGTATAAAGAGGAGCTCATTACATGGGATTAACTTGGCCAACATTTACTCACTGTATTGTCTTAAACTCAGCAGCACTTTTTCATGCGGCTGTTTATAAAAATAGGATCGTCAACATGATTGCCAATGTCCAATGATGGATATGGTACAAGAATAAGAAGAATTGTCTTAAACAGCTCATTTGCTTTTATTAAGGAGAGAAGGAAGACACAGAAAGATTAAATCTTCATATACCAAAAGGTGGCAGTAAAGGTCTTAAAATTAAAAACTACCATATTTGAACCTTTCAGACAGGAATCTGTAGAGAAGTGATTGTTTTATCTAGTGTACTGTGTGGTTCCAGAAAAACCATGCATTTACAGCTTTCTTCTGAGAAAGGTGGTTCATGTGGGGATTTCCTCTAGGTAAGCTGAGAGAGAGAACTGGCCCAAAGCTACCCAAATTTCATGATCAAGTGAGGATCTAAAACTAACTAACTGACCTGATGTAATTTCCTTATCACAAGACCCATCACAAGATTCATTGATGACTCACACCTGACCCATCTCAAGAGCCTCACTTGACACACCTATGCCTGAGGCCCTTATCAACAGAAGAACACTGACACAGAAGATGTTATCTGATAACTGCCTGGTAATGAAATGTTCGGAAACCAACCTACAACCTTGGAGGATGAACTTTCACCCTCATCTTACACCTGAGCTACAGATATCCACCACTATTGCAAACTAACTAATTCCTCTTGAGTTGTCTTCTGCATTCATAAAAACACATATACACAATCATATACCTATATTGGAAGTACTCAGCTAATGATAGTGACTAGGACCAGAAACCCCATTGCTAAGCAATGCAGCTGTAAAGTATGATATCTTGTCTCCAGTTTGAGGAGAGGGTTGGACTAGAAGACTTCCAAGGACTCTTTCAGCTTTGTTATTACTGCATTGACTTACAAAGGCAGTTCCAGCAGTTCCATTTGCCATTGTTAGGTGAATCCCACATGATTGTTAAGTGTGACATCATGTGATCACCATTTATGACTCCTGCCAGCTTCCCCACTCACTTGTTGGAAATTGGCAGTGGAGGTTGCAAATGGTGATCACATGACTGTAAGACACTGCCATGGGATAATTGCAAGCTGGTTGCTAAGCACGTGAATTGCAATAATGTGACCACAAAGACAATACAACAGCCGTAATGACAAGGCTTAGTTGCAAGTTCTTATTCAGTATTGTTGTAACTTCAGTCACCAAGGAATTAATTACTAAACAAAGACTATATTCTCTCCTGCACAGAGAAAATACAATATTCACACATACAGTCATATACAGGTATATTTACATGTATATTTTCATTACACTTCTTCTGAATTCAGTTCCCTGTGGTAATGCTAATAAGAAGTAAAAATTGAGGAAAAAGGAAGGGTCTTGGGCTGGAAGTATAGAAAAACTGGATTTGGGGGTGGGAACAAGACCATTGATGGACAGAAGGATATAAAAGGAGATGGACAGGCAGCAAAGGAGAAGGGAGAAAAGTTAGATAGAATCATGACAACTGCATAAAGCTATGAGGGACACCAAAACACATATATAGAGCAGAAGGATAATTGATTGAGCTGGAATAAGATAGCATCCTATATTTCCTATATAAAATAGTTGCATATTTTCTTGATATTCTGTTTATGAAAATATAAGAAACTCACCAGTAGAATATCTATAGCTGATGATCTGAGATGTAATGTTGTATCAGCCAAAAGGTCAAAAACTGCAATACGAGCCATATCATCGATCACAACACTGCGACACTGGAAGCTGGAATAGGTTTTAAAAGTAGTTAGTAAATAAGTCCTAATTTTCTCTAATTCCAAAGAAGGTTTTTTTGTCTTTTTTCTGTCTTGAACTTCTTCTCTATGAATCTATCACCAAATGCATGAATTACATGTCAATTTTAAATTAAATAAAGAAGCCCAGAGTGATTTTTTTTAAAAAAACCACTGCTTTCAATCAATACATGCACATTACGGATTTCAGTTCACCATTCAGCTTGTTCTTCTACGGTAGGCCTGTGAAACAGTTGGTATCTACGACTATTCTACAAATACATGCCTTTCCAAAA